AAAATCATGTAACAAAAGGATTAAATCATCTGTAAATAAAACGATATGCTGCTCTGCCTGCTGGTATCCACATTAGAGTGTTTCTATAAAACAACTTAGTGAAGCAGTGCCCGACAGCCTCTAGTGGCCAAAGTGAGTATTACAACAACAAAACCAATGACAACAAGAAACAACACCAAAACACTTCAGTGTGACCAGCAACCATGATACCGCATTTTTAAATCCATGACTTATTTATGAACATTTTAAATCAGATCAGGATTCGTCAGTATTCATACTTTCACAGTAAACCTTTGTGCCAGATGACATATTGCAAAGTGCTAAGGCTGATTTACTGATGAGGGTTTAATATGAAGTCTGATGTTTTATTAATTTGGAAACCTCTGGATGGTGGTATTGTAAAACTTCAAATAAAAGCCCATCTATATTTCAGGCCCAGTTCTTTTTACTAGTCCGGAGTTGCTGCATGTTTTGACAAATAAAGGCGGGTCGCAGTAAGAGACCCCTTACGCATTAAGTGTTGATAAGTTTGCGGATCAAAAATATCTTAAGAATCAAAGAAATGTTCCTGATAGAATTACGGTTGAAATAAAATAAATAAATAAAAATCAGACCACACTTGTCATTGTGAGTGCATACTGATGACAACTGAATCTTTCAACCATACAGAAGTTGGCGGCATACTGGCATTCTGCTAATTAACACTTCCCACAGTGCATCTGTTTGTTAGTCCCCCCAGCTGAACCATGCCCTTGTTACCTTGGCGACAGGCAGCTCCTTGGCTTTAGACTCAAACAGGTGTTCGAGTCGGGAGGTGTCCACCGCCACCTTGTCCAGAGACGCCCACACCGTCCCCCGACCGAAGCGACACTTCTGAGGCCCGTCCGCCTGCTTCAGCTCCTTCCAGAACAACTTCACCGTCTTCTTCTTCTGAGAGGGAGCCGCCGAGGAGGAGAAGGGAGGAGGAGGAGGTGGAGCACCTGGTGGAGGGGGAGGAGGAGGAGGAGGAGGGGCCATACCTCCTGGAAGAGGAGGGGGAGGGGGAGGAGGGGGAGGTCCGCCGAGGCCCGGGGGAAGGGGAGGAGGAGGTGGTGGTGAAACTCCAGCCATGCCTGGAGGAGGAGGAGGAGCAGGAGGAGGGAGGCCTGAATAACAAGAGGAGGAGGAGTCAAAAGAGTCCATGTCCAACACGTCGATGTCCTCCTCGTCCAGCAGGTCGGAGAAGTCCAGGTCTTTGATGCGCAGGGCGGCGGCGCTCGGCTGCAGCTGCTCCCAGGCGTCAGGGGGACCGCCAGGAGCCAGCGGGTTCAACTGGGTGGTCTCCAGGCGGCGGGCTTGGCCCTCCACATCGATGCTGCTCTGCTGCCGGAGGTTTCGGGTCTGATGGAGCACATTCAGGTTAAGAACAGAAAGAGAAACACCAGGGTTACTACACATGTTTCATAGCTATGGCTAATTTAAAAAAGGTTTTGGAATTGTTCCAGTAGATTGTCTCAGCTGTGAGTCTTGAAAGAGGCTTTAACAGATGCAGAGTGAAACTCTGACACCTAGTGTTTAAAATGGGTACTGCGGTCCAAATTCAAAACATTAAAGAGAGCTGTCTCCCCCCTGGCCCCCTCCTCCCTAGAGCTGATGTGCTCTAGCTTGCCATGTCGCGGACACTGAAGCTTCAGCATTTAGCCAGCTCTGCATCGGTCTGTAAACCTTCATGTGTTTTCTCCATTTTTCAAGGTTTGTATTTCTCCACATGTTTAGATGGTGAGTATTTAGAGCAAAGACGCAAATGAATGAAGCTGTATTGTTCAGACCTGTCGTTCTTCAGCCAGTCGGGCCAGCGCTGCTTGTGCCGAACCTTCCAGCCCCTCCAGCTCCGCCCTGCGGGAGGCGCTGCTCTCGCTGGGAACGGAGGGCTCCACTGAGCGCGCATTAAGGCTGGAGAGACGCTCCAACACACGACCACGACCGCCCAGATCTCCACCTGAAAGACATTGACATTTCAGATGTTTGTTCTTTTCAACATGGCGTCTTTTTTAAAAATGTTTTGTTAAACCGTATAAACTAAAAGAGTGTTTATGAGTAGTGCATTTAAACAACTTCTTCTTGAAATGACTGATTATCTAAATCGGACTCCACTGTGCTCGGCTCTCACCAGCCAGGAAGCTGCCTTCTTCTTCGTTGGTGTCAGGAGCTGCAGCAGTCGGGCTCAGCGGCGCTGTGGAAGAGGCTTTGGAGTACAGCATGTCCAGCACAAACTTCTTGTCATCGGAGAGAGTGCTGCACTGCCTCTGCATCGAGGAGGCTACAAAGAGACCAATGTTCCCAATGTTTACAGAAGTTCATGAAATAGAACAATAAGGAACTCCTTATACATGTGATGATGGCGCTGAGTCATGGAGGACACATCAGGCGAGTATAACAGAGAAGACTACATGTGACATGTCTTTAAGTCATCTCTACATCCATCCATGCATGAATCCACTTAATCCATTAATTCATCAAATATTCATTCAGCCTTCCATCCATGCGTCCATTCACGCACCCACCCATTAAATATGTATCAACCTTTCCAACTCATCCACCCTTGTCTCAGTTATTTGGTTAAGAGTGTCTCTGTTTTGTGTAAAGGTTAGAAGGGTTGAGAGAAGATGCAGTTGTTGCACTCTGCTGCTTCTTCTTGTTCTGATGGATGACGTACAAGAGAGTAGTGACGCTTCACCTCCACCAGGTGGTGCACCATCATCACCGCCGAGCCGATGCACTCACAGCTTCTCATTCCACTGAAGCCCATGAATTGTACGGCCTTCATAAACATGGGGTGCTTCCGGATTGCAAAGTGCCTACACAGTCTGACAGTAGACCGTCCCTCTATCCGTGCTATCCCTGAAGTTAGTATCCATGCTGACATGTTCAGTCTACTGAGGTGGACCCACATAATGACCACGAGGGTTCAGACTACTTGAAAAGTCTGCACTCCGTACTGAACTTTGGCTTTTGGGAAAGAGCCAGGCAGGCGCTAATTGAGCACCGCAGTGTGGGTAGCACCAATGAGGAGAAGAGGATTGTGGGTAACTGTGCTCTCTCACCTGGGTCATTCTGGGAGTCTGAGTGTCCGTTTGTGTCGGAACTGCTGGATGTCGGCCCTGAGGAGAAACACACACACACACACACACACACACGAGACAGGGAGCAAGATTAGCAGAAAAGGTGTACTGTTCCTTTAAGAGATGTGCGTGAGAGTGAAACGACATTTTAATATCTTACTCGGGCTCTACAGACATTTCTTTTTCTGGTTTTTCTAAATCCATCAAGATTGTTTGTAAAAAAAAATGTTTTTAATTTTATTTCAACTCAAAGATTTACCCTGATGTGGCGACTCCTCCTCGCCACGCCCCTCCGCAGGCTGCGGGCTCGGGGTTATGACATCATCAGACGTGGACTGCCTGGACTGGCTCAGGTGTTTACTTCTTCTCTTCTTCTCCCACTGTGTGGCTGCCAGGCTGCGCAGGAAGGTGTCTCTGCAGAGAGAGCGGGGGGGGTAAGACGAAACAAAGCAACCGTGAGACGGAGCAAACATGGCCGACATGAAGCGGAATCAGACGTCTGGAAGTCTCCGGGCGGGAAAAAAAAAAACCAGGCACCACTTTCACATGCTGCTGAAGTCAGGAAGACGATTGTTTGGTTTAAATAAAACTCTTCCAAGTAAGAAATAGGCTGAGTTGGGAGTTTGGCATGTTTTTATGGCAATGATGTAGAATATTTGATATAAAAAACTTGAATGTTGTCACCAGCATGTGAAAGCAGAAAAACACAAACCTTAAATCACTTCAATCAGGAGCACAAAGTCAAGAAATCGATTGATTAAAATCTCTTCATCACTGCAAAACCCCCAAACCAAAACCAGTCAGATTAAAGACCAGTGATTAGACTGCACCCAAACAAACCAGCACACATCTTAAAACTGTGACACTGCAACAACCCCACACCAACCAGATTTACAACTTTAATACTAACATTTTTATAAGAACTGTTGAGCTACAGACCCAACACACACACACACACACACACACACACACACACACACGCACACACACACAGACAGATTCTTCAAGTATTATTCAGTTGCGGTCGAATGGAAACAGCCAGGATGGAGGCAGGTCAGAGGAAGGGGGAGAGTTTATGTTGTTTTCATTTTCACAGAGTAAAGAGCAGAGCTTTTTATTCGTCCCATTGCAGAAAGTTTTTGGTGCCACATTAAGAGACTATTAATAACATTACTGTGCCATTGGTAGTTTTAAAATCAGAGCAGCTTCCTGTGTTATTCATGTCTCTTTAAGAAACTGAAGGCGGGAGATGTTGTACTTAGGTCTTCTTCTGACATTTTAGGGGAACAGCGTTGAGGTAGCAGAAAGAATATCAATAACCCGTAGTCACCTCTCTTCACAAGTTCCTCGATAAATCTCTTTTCAGTCAGCAATGCACGACTGAAATTTTTGAAGAATTCAGACCAGCTCCTGGTACCTACAGTCTTTAAGGGCGCACTCACAATAGGCCCAGTTGTCCTGTGCTGTGCTTAAGCACGATTGCCCCCCTTCCATATTCCCCCCCCCTGGTCTTCACTCACACTGCTCCAGGTCTAACCGGGCCTGAGCACAGTTACCTCTTTTACATAACGTCATAATACAACACATGCATGGCTTTATGTTATTATGAAGCGTGCATAGTTTAGAAGACAGGTGGACTCAAGAAAATGTACTATGGGAGGTAGAGCCTTCAGTTATCAGGCTCCTCTCTTTTAGAATCTTTTACCAGTCAGGGTCCAGGAGGCAGACACTCTCTACTTTAAAGAGTAGGATTAAAACTTACTGTGTTGATAAAGATTATAGTAAAGCCGAGCTCAGACTTGGACCAGCTCCTAGTTATGCTGCTATCGGCTTAGACTGACAGGGGATATGAAACAGGGAGCTCATGTCTCCTTTTGTGCATCCTCCTCAAACTCAAAACTGTCCCCTTTGAGTTTAACTTCCACTAACTGCACACGTCTGAATGTCTTGCATTGTTCTTTTTTTGTCTGGAAATTAATGGGTGTAAAGTTAACTCTCTACTTACTAATTAATATTTATTTCATGATGTCCTCTATTCTTATTTGTTTTGCACTCATATGAACGCTCTTCTTCTTGTCTTGGATTTCCCCTCTGAGGATCAATAAACGATGATCTTATCTTAGTGTAGTTTAGTAGAACGACTCAGATAATGTACTTTGTCATTTTACACCTCTGCAGTCATCCCACAGCCACAGCCCAGTTCAGACCAGTTCAGTTCAGTGTGGTAGTTTTGGAGGTTGGCCTGGTCCAGGTCTGAGGGAGCTCCGAGCTGCTCGCTCTGTAATTTGCGTTTAGTGGCTGCAGCAGAACAATCGCACAGTGAAAGATCTGCCCAAGTTTACGAGTTTCTATTGTTCCAAACTGAACTGAAGGTCAACAATAGATCCACTCTAGGACCAGGACCAGGACCAGGAGACAGAAAGGGAGAGAGAGAGAGAAAACAACAGGATGGAGGAGGTCTTCTGTGCTGGGAAAAAATCAAACTGATGGTCACAGACAATGTACAAAATCTACAGAGACAGAGACGCAGATCAGGATCTTGAGTTTGATTTGTGAGATGTCATCAGAGGAATAAAGTGATTTTATTTGAAACTGAAGAAATTTAAAAATCACCCAGAGCCATTTGCTTCATTAAAAAAAACACACAGGAAGACTCTTCAGTTTGTAATCCTGCAGAATCACCAGAATCTCATTAAAACTCCAAAAACACACAAAACAACCCGGGCTTCACACAAAAACACACACACAGAGAGCTAGGTTCTAACAGGAGCAGCAGGGCTCGGACTCCATCACCCAGCATGCAGTGGGGCTGCAGCAGTACTTACTCAAACCTCCTCAGAACCGGCTTGTCTTGGTTTACATTACAGTCGTCAGAGCTGCAGAGACACAACACAGAGCTGAGCGGGGAACACACACATGGAAACACACACACACACACACACACACAGAAAACAAAGGACCCAACCAGAAACACCTGTCAGGTTCAAATCTGTAGTTCACCTCTTGATTGGTTCACAGCTAAATAAGCTACTACGGATACACCTTTAAGGTTTTTAAAGGAACATTTTCAAAATAAATGTGGTATTTTTAAACCGTTGCTGACTACTTTTACACCTCTCTCAGGTGAACACAGATTCACTAAAACACACAAGTCCCAACCACAATCAGCTTTGAACTACACACACATCTCACACAGTTTACCCCCTCACCAGGCAAACACACACACGTTTCCCACACACCACCTGATTTCCTTCACATAACACCTGATGAAGTGCTCAGCTGCATAAAAACTTCTTAAGAAGGGGCGCGGGTGGCCTAGCGGCTGAATGTTGCTGAACCGTTATACAGCTGAGCACTTGACTGACAACTAGAGACACACAGGAGGAGGAAGAGGAGGAGGAGGAGGAGGAGGAGGATGATGAGGAAGAGGATGATGAGGAAGAGGAGGAGGAGGAGGAGGAGAGACGAGTACTTACCAGCGGAACACGTCATCCTCCCCAGAGCTGGGGGAGGATCAAGGGAGGAGAGGAAGAGAAAAAGACGAGGCACGAAGAAATTAGGGAGAGAGAGAATAAAGAAAAAGGTTAGAGTGTCAGACAAAACATTATAATGATAAAACGAACAGAGAGAGATAGACAGACAGACAGAGAGAAAGATGGACAGACATTAAGCATCAGGTCTTATTCTTGTGAATTATAAAATATTCAAACTCAACATCAAATCTCAGCTGTATTCAAAAAGGAGATACTGCATGTGCACATTTCAGAGTTTTTAAAAAAATCCAATAACTATACAGAACAACATTCTGCAAAATGGTAAACAAAAAAACTGTAGAGTTAAATTTAAAAAGAAATCAAGAATTAATTTTAGAGATCTGACAGAAATGAAAGAAAAATCTGTTAAAATATTCCAGACAAAAATACAATATTAAGCCATCAGGATAAAAAAAAGTTCTTAATTAAGATGACTCCTAATTAAGGAGGTTATCAATGAATTACAATTTTAATCTATTAATTATAGATTTTAAGAAAAGGAAAACAAAAAAGTATTGCGCATAAAAAAAATATCTCTGCACACCTGAATGTATGACAGGAGCGCCGGAGGAGGGTAAAACTTAAAGAAGATGAGAAAGGCTCCGACACATTGTCTCGCTTTATAACATCTTTACGACATCGTCACAACCTGACATATGTGACAATGTCGGGAGCTTTCTCACTGCCAAAAATGAACTACCACAAATTTGAAAAACAAATCCAGATTTAAAAAACTTAAAAAACGTTTTTAAAATCCAGAAATTCTGAAAAAAAAAAAACTGAAAATCCATCCAACACAAAAATGATTAAGTTGTGAAAAAAGTCTTAATCAATAAGAAGTGATGAACGACCGTAGACGAATGATTAAATAATAATCTGTATTCCTAAACAATAAAATAAAATTCTTAGATTAGGAGATCTCACGTCTGAATCCACAGATGAATCCCGTCTGATCCGAAGTTAAATTAAATCACAGATGAAGAAACGTTTTGAATGAAACAATCCACAGAGATATCAAACACCAACACTCTCACTTCTACAACAGTGTAGGTCCCCTGAAACAACACACCAATTACCATCATTGAGCCGCAGCATCCTGGTAACCGTGCTGTGCCTACATCGCCATGGGAACCAAAAAGAAATCCCACTCCAGCAGAGTCTGCTTCACTTACTTGAAACTGGTTTTAGACTCCGTCTTGACGGGCTGCTCCGTGTTCAACTGGGACGGCTTCTCCTGGTGAGAGAGGTCTGAGGGAGACGAGCTGTGACACACACACACGCACACACACACGCACACACACGCACACACACACACACACACACAAAATGAATAAACTGCCAAGAATTTAGAGAGTTAAGACTGCAACCATTTCAAAACATTTCTTTCTGCCAGTTCATTCCATTGAATGTGTGTGTGTGTGTGTGTGTGTGTGTGTGTGTGTGTGTGTGTGTGTGTGTGTGTGTGTGTGTTGTAAAGAAGACAGTCTGGCTTCTGCCTGATCAACACATCCAGCCGATTTGAGAGGAGGAACGGAGCCAAAGAGACATCATCTAGTATTTTATTATAAATCATTTTAATAATTTAAATCTCCTGAAAGTTTCATTTAAGAATCTTCCGATCTACTTCTACGTATTTTATATTCAAATTTGATTATTTTCTCACTTGAGAAGAGGCTGATACTGCTCATTTTCCCTCTTGATTTTCACAAACAGGTTAGGTTGGGTCTTAAGCCTCCTGTCAATCAAATCAGCCCCGCCCCCTATTATGGACAACTCTCGCTTTAATCTCATCGAACGGGTGAGTTATGAAAAAGTTCATCATGGCACACTATTGATCTCAAAAGTGTTTTTAAACCAGGCTGTAAAACATGTTCACTCCTCTCTAAAGATTTAAAAAAAAAACGGGAGTCCTTCGCTTTTGGAGCAGCCTCAAGTGGACACTCAGGGAACTACAGTTTTTGGCGCCAGAAGTTCCCGCTTGGTTTTAGTTAAATTTTTAGGTGGGATATGTGAAGTGAAGTCTGTGCAAATTCTAATTTTCCACATGCACTCCATAATCCTCAAAGTGAATCTGTTTCTTTCCTCTGGAAGCGTCTGTAAAATAAACTATGTGGCACCAACGGGACTAAACTGACGTCTAGTCAGCAGGTCTCAGGTCAGTCCAGGTGTTACCGACCTGCAGGCGGCTGACGTCTCCTCAGAGATAGAGCTGGTTTTGGTGAAGAGTCTGGACTTCCTGCCGAAACCAAGAGCGGACATGTGGTGGCTGAGGAAAGAGCGTCCCCTGGTTGGTCAGAAAGCACCGCAGCGGGAAGAGAGCGAGAGAGGGAGAGGAGAGAGAAACACCAGTCACCAGAAATAAGAAACAGACCCAGAATCAGCACCAGGATGGAGAGAGAGAAAAAGACCTGATTTGTTCTTTTAGAGCTTCAACTAAAGCTGTGTTCAGAGAAAGAGCAGAATAAATTTAAGATGAGACACAAACGAGAATTGAATATGAGCGAAATATCCCCATCATTAGACCCGACAGATGTGAGGGAGACAGAGGGGGAGAGGGGGTTGTTCTCAGTGGAGGAGGGCAGGAAGGTAATTGGGGTGGGGGGAGGAAGCAGCAGGTGAGGGGAGGAGGTCAGGGAGGTTTTGGCTGGAGAAGCCAAACAAACTGGTCGCGTGCTTTGCGGAACAAGTTCTGTGTTTAGCGCCCTCTGCAGACTCATCCTGGGATTACTCCAACACACGTTTACCTCATGAGATGAAACTTTTGGCCAAGTTTAGTTTGGACCTCCAGCATTGTTACACTATGTGAGCTTTAAAAATGGGGATCGACGTTCACAACTTCAGGTAAAAATAAATCCTGTGGTTGGAATCATTTTGTGTCTTTGCACTGACGGTGTATAAACGCTGCAGCAGGCAAAAAATAAGGTACTTGGCTTTTTGTCTGGACGCATTTAAACTTTTTTTTTTTTAACAACCTTTAAGCCTGCTGATTACTTTCTCTAGTTATAGATTAGTTTTTTTGACTGAGGTGAAATATGTAGTTGATGACGTCTAATAATAACAACCTAAAATGTTTTCATCTAATGAGGAAGGAGAAGCTCAACCATCAGTCCTGAAGTTTTGAATAGATTCAGAAAGGACGACATTATTTGACATAATTACAGTCCCTGTCGGGTCCAGAGTGGACCCGCAGTGAAGTCTCTTGCGGGTACTTAATGCTAAATATGAAATAAACTTTGCCCCCTTTAAAATGTTGAAGAGATGTCGGCTGTTCCCGCTGAGTCCAAACACGAGCAGAAATGTTCTTCATGTGCCCACAGAGGACAAACATTCCTGCTGCTTGAACTCAGAGAAAAATCTGCTTCCAAATAAAACACGTCCCTCGTCAGGCGGCCGGTCTAAACTTGGTCAGACTCAGAGAGCAGAGGGAGACCAGACCGGCCGTAACACCGGGGGGAGGGGGGAGGGGGAGGGGGTCACATAGTTGTAAACATGTTTGTTTGTTATCAGGCTCAGAGTTTTGTTTTTCTTGTTATCAGAAGATAATACTTACGGACTGGTCGGTGACTTTGCATCCTGCTCTGTTGCTATGGTACCGTTGGGGGCCGTGTGGGGAGGAACAGGAGACCCTCTGTGGGACCCGGACGGACTGGAGGTGGAGCTGTCAGGATCGGAGATCAGCGGAGACGAGGCCCTGCTGCCTGACCCCGCCGTGGGGCTGGGGGAGGAGGCGACGGGGGAGACAGCGGGGGAGAACGTAGGGGAGATGGCAGGGGAGACCGGGGTGGTCTCAGTGGAGGGGGGCAGGAAGGTTGTGGGGGTCGGGGTGGGGGAGGAAGCAGCGGGTGAGGGGAGGAGGTCAGGGAGGTTTTGGTTGGAGGTGCGGCGGTTCTTGCGTCCCTCCTGCTCGCCGAAGGCCGTCTTTCTTCTCTCTTTACGGAGGTGAAGGGAGGAGTCGTCCACGTCCCCGTCCTCGTACCTCAGAGCGTTCTGCAGCACACACACGCACACACACTTAAACACTGTTCTAACTGTGTGTGTGTGTTGTTTTGTCATTCAGGTTGTGGTTACCTCGTAGATGGTGAACTGAGAGCGCAGGTCGGGCTCCGTCCCTCTGTTGTTCATGTGTTTGAAGATGATCGTCTCCATCCCCAACTGCTCCAGACTGTCGGTCACATCGTAGAACGAGTCCTGGTCCGGGAGCACCCCAAGAGTCTGACACATAAAACACACACACACACACACACACACACACACACACACACACACACACACACACACACACAGGTGAGAACATGAATAATTAAACAGACAACTTTTAAAGCGATATGCTGCATTCACACATCCATGAACAGCGTGAGCGGCATGTGTGAACGCAAAAAAACTCCAGCTTCATAGAAAAAAAAAAAAAACTGCATGAAGTCGAGTTGAAAAAAGTCAGGAAAATTCCCAATGGTCAAGCAGGAGTGGGTGACCATGTTTATTCCACCCCACTGAAGATCGTGCACGTCATGAAGCTGCTTCATACTGTTCATGTTAGCCGTTTGTCAGTCGTGTTCATTTTCTGTCGACTGTTTGTTGACCTTGATGACATTTATTTTCTCTCAGCTAAACGCTCTACACACTGAGTGTCTAACAGAGCATCACACAGCAGCACATACAGCAACAGCACGGCAGCTTTCAGTAGAAGCTCCCGCGACATAACATCTGGTGTTTCCACGGCAACAATAAACATCATGTCTGCCAAGTTAAAACTATAAATTTGATAAAGCTTTGATAACTGCTGGAGATATATTGTATTTGTAACAGGTTTGGTCCATTTGAATTGATTTAGATATTTCAATGAAAACATCATCATAATATTCTGAATATTATACATTGAAATGTTTTTACCTTGTTGATGAGCGTCATGGCCAACATGAGCAGCTCTGTGTCTGAGCCGTTTCTCTCCTCCAGGACCTCCATCAGATTACTCCACGACTTCACACCTGCAACACACAAACACACCTTTACAGACTGAACACTAAGACGGACTGCTGGGCAATTCATCAGGTTTCAAGACGTTTGTCTTCCAACGATCATGAAAACACGATAGTGGAGATTAAACGATTACTGTGCAGCATGCTGGGTTTTACTCGTTTGTGGCAAACGGGGATGGGCTTTTATTCGAAGTTTTACGGTATTTGTAGATATCTGGAAAGTCTGAAGAAATCAAGATTATTCAACACTTTCTGAAAGTTTATAGACTTCAAACATATGACAGATTCATGTGGTAAAAACTGAAAATGTTAAATGCAGCTCTAAAAGTTTCATACCTACAAAGGCTAAAATATCATATTTTGTACAGAGATTGTTGTCAAAGAATCAAAGTGTGTGTGTGTGTGTGTGTGTGTGTGTGTGTGTGTGTGTGTGTGTGTGTGTGTGTGTGTGTGTGTGTGTGTGTGTGTGTACCTCTCCTCCCGTCCACCGTGTTGACTGCGTTGATGAGCAGAGGACTGTTGGACTCTGCGTACTCGACGAAGACGATGAGCAGCTTCAGAGCCGTCTTCACCACCAGACGAGACTGCAGACGAACAGAGAGAAGTTCAGAGTGTGTCCACCAGGGGGAGCCACAGCTCTGCTCTGATGTTTAAAACCTGCTCTTAATCACTTCTTCTGCAAAGGGAAAACTTTGAGATTGTATCTCAGCTGAGTGATGGCAGGTTTTAAATATCACCATTTACGGTTTATTCCCGAAGTTTCTGAGCCCGAGGCCGATTTTTAAGTATTATCTACTTGGGGAAATGTTACTGTTTTTGTAAATTGATGCAATTTGCAAGAGTTAACGTCACTGTTTGTGCAGTTCCTGAGTGACTTTTTGATTTTTTTTTAAGTCTGCAGATGCTCTTAATCTTTGATACTCAAAAAAACACACCAGCTACTTTAAGTCTGAATCCATTGATACAAACCAGATGAGATCAGAATGAACCAAGCTCTATTGATCAGCATAAAGGAGTCGATTGTGTTTAAGTTTGTTTTGGTTTGGAGTTTTAAATACTCACCACACTCCCCGTAAGCGTGTAGAGCCACTGGACTGTCTCATTGTGGTTTATCACGCCGTTCATACCGTCCACAAACAGCATGATCTGACTGAGAGCTGAGAGACAGACAAAGAGACAGACAGACAGACATACAGACAGACAGGTCAGTGTTGGCTCTCTGATTTCCACAGACAGCTCCAGCAGATCCAGAGGAGCCTGTAATCTGCAGGGCTGACTCAGCTCTCTGTGGGTTTGTTGGATGTGTGAAGCTGCAGCTCTGAGTTTCCATCTGATCGAGCTGCTGCTGCTGCTGCTTCGTGCAGAGAGCGTCACAAACTCAGCTGATGGCTCTGCAGCCTGCAGGACCCAGAGTGAAGTGGTATCACCCTCTGCTCATGTGAGGGCTGCTTTTAGGACTCGGGGTTCTTTGGTGGACAAGAACTGGTTTATTATACAACCCCCATCTTCATAAAAGTTGGGACGAGTGTGATGATTTGCAAAACATTGAAACCCCATATTTGATCAAAAATAACTCAGAGACAACACATCAAATGTTGAAACTGAGAAGTGTCATCGTTTGTGTTCTGGACAATTATATGCTTACTTTGAATTTTATGCCAGCAACAGATTTAGGAAAAGTTGAGAGTGGCAACTTTAGACTGGGAAAGTTGTGAAATGCTTAATGGTTCATCTCACAGTTAATAAGGATTAAATGGCCTCAGTTTAGAAACATGATTGGGTATAAAAAGAGCATCACAGAAAGGCTGAGTCCATCTGAAGTGAGGACGAGGAGGGGATCATCACTCTGTGAGAGACTGCTGGAAAATAGTGCAACAATTGTAGATGCCAACCATTGAAATGCACCTTGTGGCATTCCTGGGGCTGCATTGGATTGGTTCTCTACTTATCTAATCAAAAAGGACTTCCATACTCTCTCTGTAGGGTATTTTATTTTTTCAGGCACTGTTGCTTTGTCATGATGGTGTCCCCCAGGGCTCGATCTTAGGACCCTTTTTAATCTCAAATTACATGTTGCCGATTATCAGTATTTTTGTCAACATCTCCAGATAAGCCTGAGGTCTTTGAACTCAGTGAATCGTTTTTCTAAAATCAGCCAAAATTTTATATTTTCAGACCAGCGTTCAGGTAGAATTTGACAATTAATATTTTAACTTGTGTCCTTTATCTTATTAGCGGTTATTATTTTACTTTTTATTTGGATTCTTTCTGACTGTGAATCTCTCTGTATCTGGCGTCTGTGGTAAGGCTGTGTCGTATAAACAAATTTCACTTTCTTAGTATAAAAGACGGGAGGCTACAGGGAAAGTATTTTACTGGACAGTGAGCACGGTGGCTGTGGTAAATCTGTGGTTTCACACATCTGCAATTTCTACTTTTCTGGCTTTTATCTTGTCTCACTATGACTTGCAGTGGTATGTGAAGGTTTCCCATTATGCAGAAGGGTTGGGTGAAAGAGTATACATTTCTTGGCATGTAGCTCGATGAAGAATATACATCTAAGTTCCCTGTGTGAACTCTTGTCTCCTAGAATCAACAGAAAGTGGCTTATGACAGCCTCCAGGAGGCGGAGTCTCACCTCTCAGGATGTAGTTCTGGTAGTTGGTGTCGGCCTCCGCTCCGACTTTGATAAAACACGTCAGACCTTCAGAGGCCACAAACTCTGGAACGAGGTCTTTGTCATCCTGCAGAAAGAGACAGAAGAGATGTCTGGTTTTAAACCATTCTGCTGTTTGTGTGTGTGTTCATGACAGAAACGTGCGTTACCTGGAAGAGCTGTTTGAGAGAGAAGAGAGAGCGTCGGAGCTCTGGACCCTGAGAGTTATACAGCTTCTCTGAAACACAAGAGGAGACGGAGAAACATGCAAAGTCACTCATTGGACAAAAACAGAAATGTGCCCTCACAGAGCTTCTGATCGTTTGTTGGTGTAATTACATGACTTCTGTGTTTTAAATGTTGAGTTTCGATGCATTCAATGGGCGGGCATTGGCGAGGCCTGAGTAGGAAGCCTTACTATAAGGAGCTGCTTCTTTAAGGGGTGAGTGATGAAGGGGTTTAAAGAAAGGAATGAAACTATTTCCTGTTTGTCTCTACGAGGGCTGAAACCCCTGACTCATTGTGCACTTCAGAGGAAACGCTGACAGATTTAAAATTCTGCTATTTTTAAAACACAACAAGTTCATCCAGCGGAGAAGAGCGAGAGCAATGAGTAGGACAGGACGAAAACATTAAAGCAACTCAACACACACAACTTTATAGGAAATGGTATAAGACATTGATGTTGACACCATGACATCAGACATTTGTGGATTTCTGTTTTCAAGACTTCTGGCTTTGTTTTCCAGAACTTTAATAACTGACTTTGACAGGAAGAGACGCTGAAGTGCAATGGAAAAAAAACATCAAGACAGTTCATGTGAGAGTGACTCTGTGGTACAAAATAGAAGCAAAAAAATGAGGATTTGAAAGAGAAATAAACACACACACAGTCAGTAACCACAGCTTGCCATAGTAACAGGAAGTCATGGGGGTCTGTTGTCGTGGCAATAGGATCCATAAATCACACCCTGAGATCTCAGTGTGAATGGAAACATTGTCATCATTCCCCCTGTGGGTTGTAGATCTTATTTCTTAAGAGAATCCACTCACTGGTCTGTGTCCTCACTTTTACTGTCTCCAAGAATCATCAAACTGCAGCACAGTTAACTCCAGTTGAAGGCCCCCCCCCCGGTCCTTTTCATCACATCCCGACTGGCTGCTGCAGCCCGCTGTGACCTCATATAACCTCCAAGATTTCAACAGTCAAAGAAAAGTATTTGTCATCATATTTTGGATTAGTATAGTTCTGCGAGGCTTAAGTACATTGTTGTATTAGGCGTTCTAGATAGGGCCTGGTTGGTTGATTGATTGGTTGATTGATTGTGATTGGCCGAAAGCCTCGTTGGTTACTGGCTGATGACATCTAAAGACCAGGTCATAACCAGGTCCAACAGGAGAGAACAGACTGGCTCCCAGTCCATTTAAGAATTAATTTTAAAACACCAGTGATCACTTTTAAAGCTTGTAGGGGTCAGCACCAGATTGCATCTCCGACCTCCTAACCCCCCCTACGAGCCCCCATGTAACCTGAGATCCTCCGGTAGGTCACTACTGACTGTTCCTCGGACTAACCTGACAGTGCGATGTTTGCATCTTCAACAGACACACACAGAGTTAACCGCCTTGTTGAGATAACGGACTGAAGCTTTCACTCAGACGGACGTTTCAAGCCGCGATATTTACGTCCCTGTGACGTTTTGCCTTCAAAATGGGGGGGGTGAAGTTTTTTTTAACAACCAATGAGTCTCCCCCTGCTGACCACTGGACAGAGCACTTCAGGTTTAACACACTTCTGCATGAACCCCAGAATCATCAACATTTTTATGTTCAATCTGTCTGAGCATACAGAGAACTGTAACTCCGGCCTTGGAGCTCTGGACTGTTGTGCAGAGTGAGGGTGATATCAAATTATCTGCAGCCGCCCTGCTCTGGTTTCTGCTGCGCTGACATTTCGGATAAATTTATATGAGAAATAAATAAACTGATGAGCTCCAGCATCCTGTTTAGTCCTCAGTAAACAATCTGAGAGGAGGACTCCAACGGACATCACTCAGTCTAACTCAGCGACATGAAGCCTCGATGGAACTCTTTCTACAGTTTTATACTGAACAGGTCAAGAGCCCTCTCCTAAGAGAGACTGGATTGGACACAACTACTAGAAACAGATACACCCTTGAAGCCTCTTTCATACATGCACTGCACTGTTAAGATGGAATATATTGATGATGTCACAATGAGCAAAGTTTCTCTGCTTTACTGCTCGCCTCAGTTGTCTTTCTTCTTCATGTGCAACCCAACCGGTCAATTACAGAAGTCCTAAGCGGACATGCATCCAAACATTTTATTTACTCAATTTTCCACATTATCATGAGTTCATTTCAGTCGATGTCTAAATATCTGGACTTACTTGTCTCATTATTTCGAGATAACAAAGCTGGTTTTCTCACAATATTGAGATTATTTTCTAGTGATCCAGAAAATGGAACAAAACGGTGGTCACTGTGAAAGATCAGACCACAGCACGCCATGCTGACAACGCCCACGCTGATCAGGTGAAATGAGACTAATCCTGTTTGTTTTGTGCTTTAGTGAATCTGGAAAAAGGAAATTAACAAATGTATATTTTAGAAACGAACTGGAAACAGGAATACTGAGCACACTAAACGGATGAATGCATTAAAGGTATTTATGCATGACTGTTTAGGTCGATCACCATCGCCACTGGCAAAGCCTCAAGCCTCCCTTTAACACTGAGGTGTGTCATCAAGATCAGATCAGTTCTTTCCCCATTGCTCAACATGATCTATAATCCACAAATGTTCAATGTAAAACAACTCATCGTGCTGAACTCATTGTGTTTCTACTTGTCAGTAGAGAGAGCGTCATGTTCCAGAAACAGCAGATAGTTTTGATGATAAAGTTCTGATGAATCCTCTAACACTCGGCTGCAAACCGACTGAGCAAACATGTCACAGGAGGACGAGACATTTTTAAACTGATGGAATCAATTCATCTTCACGACAGTCAGAGACACTTCAGCACAAACCGTCAGATTCAATTCAGACTCTTTTCCAACTTGACTAAAAACACAAACGTGCAGAGATGTGTGTGTTTTCTTTCCCTGGCAACCGAGTTTAATTTAACCTTTTAATCTTCAACCATTTTTCAAGTCTTTGCTCCAAAGTTTTCCTTTAAAACTTATCTTATTTTGTCCACTTTATCTGACATGATCACTAGAGGCCGACCAATTTATCAGCAAGCCGATAATATCACCCGACTTTCTGACTGTCGGTATCGGCTAATTTTATCACAGATATTCAGATATGCACCGATATTACTCGATTTATGCACCAGTCAAACATCATTTCATTTGAGTATCATTGAATTACACTTACAGTTCTGTCACCAGCAGAGGGCGCTATATGGATGACAACACAGCATGTTGTAGACTTCGCTGAAGACGATCGAAATTATTACACAGGAAGACAGTTTAAACTTTTTGTTCTCTCGGAGAGACTTTCAAAAACAGGGCGAGTCTTGTATTCCAGATTTTACAGTAAAATCTTTTTCAGAAGTGTTTGATAATTCTATTTGAGGGATCAAGGCAATCAATGTGTATATCTAAATCTATCTCTACAGATCAAACATAGATCTAATAAAGGTATCGGCCGATATATCGGCCGCTGGCCGCTGACCCCCCTTCCCCTGCACATCACTTCACACCCATCATCCCCCCCACCACTCCTCCTGGTCATACACACACATCTCTCATCCACCTGTATTATTGTATTATAGTATGTTCATATCACCTCAATAAGTTATCGACCTGTAAAATATGTCCATATTCTGTATATTATCTGTAATCTAGTATAGCATGCTCACTGCACCTTAATTTGTATATTATAATCAGAAGAATACACTTATATTTATAGCATTTATTTATATTTTTAGCATCCCATTAATCCAGCCATATATACCTAATAATTCACCTTTTTTTTTAGTCTACATCTTTAAATTTTGTAATTACTGTACATAGCACAGATTCTTGCACTTTCTGCTTATTGCACTTCTGGTGAGATGCCAAACCTCATTTCGTTCCTCTATACTTGTATATGTGTAATGACAATAAAGTTGAATCTCATCTCATCGGCTCCAAAAATCTCATATCGGTCGTGTCTACTCGTTCTATACTGTGAATCATAACATATGTTTATTGCAAATCGCTCGGGTTTCTGCTTAAATGTAAATATAACATCAGCCTTGTCTGCTGCATCATTTTAGACACATTTCCACCGACAGATTTGGGATCCGCACACTTAGAGATCTCCACTCGGACTTAAAATAAGCTTCTGAAAACAAAGAGCATTTTGGACAAAGGAGCACGTGTTTGTCTCTGGAGGGTTTGAGAGGTTGAACAGTAATTATATGTTGATATAATCGTTCAGTGGGAGAGGAAGGGCCGATGTGACTTGTCATTTCAAACTAAATTACAACCAAACACATGACAGATGAAGCGTTTGGGATATTTTGAACAAACAATGAGAGGCTACAGAGCTGAAAAACAGAGCGACGTGGATCCCTGCAGAGCTCCTGTTCCATGTTTAACAAGAAGACAAATAAAGCTCAAACTGAGGATGTTTAACAGCAGCCGTGTGTCACGGAGGAACAAAGACCGGCCTGTGTTTCACATGATTCAGTCCATGTGAAGACACGCTGTCTGTCCGACCATCTGGGCTGTAAAAGATGCTGTTGAATGGAAAAAGACCATCGCTAAATGTTTCACCACAGGGGCTGAAAGGCTGAATCACTGTAGTGAAATAGAAACAAAACTACGTCATTTAGAGCTAGGAGCTCCAGCAGAGAGTCGAGAGAGGACTTGCTTTTCTTTAAATGTACAGATCAGTACAGATTCTTAATTATCTTTCTGCTTCCTATGACAATTTGAAACTCTAATTTTCTTTTCATCTCTCTAAATGCAAAACTTCTCACAGACAAACCCGACCAAAAATAGTAAGAGAGGGTGAGAACACTTTCTTGCAACAAAAAAAAAAGGCAAATGTTTCCACACAGCGTTAGTCATCAGAGAGCATTGCCCTCTGTGAAATATCCCAAACACACATTCAGTATTTCTTCAAAGCTTTGTGTAAGTACGAGTAGATGCAGGGGCGTTGTGTCCAGACTCTTTATGCCCGGGGGTTAGCCAAACTGAGGCACTGACGGGTGCCTGAACTTTGT